AATATATAATTCAAGATTTATAATAAAGCTTGCCTGTATATTCTCACATCCTTTGAGTGAAAGTTTCTTGAGAAAACCGCCACAACGACGAGCAAGATTCTCAACGGTGGCTGCCTTAAATCCTTTTTTTAGACAATTTACATAGAAATTTTAGAGACATAAGGTGCCATACCTTGACATCCTTTTGAAATGTGAATAAATCGACCCGTTGCCAATTGGAACCATCAAGTGCGAGCACATTCCACGAACGGCATGTCTGCGCACATCGACACAACGTTTTCATATCCAAATAAGAAGAAAAATTACTGGAAATGAAGAAGAAATTAAAGACCATTATGCAGCAGGTAAGACTCGCGATGTTTAGGTTGGTCTGCAGTAAGTGATGGCGGTTTTTTCAATTGAAATTTGTCGAAAGTGAAACGTTTTGTAAGCAATTATACTAGCATTGATTAGGAAACTTCTCGTAGTATAAGAATATCAAAAAAGCTTTGGTTGAGGATATAGTTTTTGTGAATTTTTTAGTCGTTGAAGTTGGAAGTGAAGTCGGCGAAAATTAGCATCTTCGACAACTGCCTCTATTTAGAAATTTCATGCTAATAGTTGAATTAATTGAATTTGAATTTGATATTCTAATACTACGAGAAGTTTGCTATTAAACGATGTTAAGCTTGCTTGCAAAACTTTTCACTTTTGAAACAAATTTTTCAATTGAAAAAAACGGCCATTACTTATTAGCCAGCCCACTAGCAGTTATTAGCCAGCCCACTAGCAGTGGGCTGGCTAATAAGTAATGGCCGTTTTTTTCAATCGAAAAATTTGTTCCAAAAGTAAAACGTTTTGCAAGCAAGCTTAACATCGTTTAATAGCAAACTTCTCGTAGTATTAGAATATCAAATTCAAATTCAATTAATTCAACTATTAGCATGAAATTTCAGGTGGAACAGACGTGAGCCTGCCCAATATTGGCAAGGTGAAGGTTGCCAACTTTGAAATTCTTGAAATTAGTTCCAAAGCGTCCTATTGAGATTCCCTTGCTGAGACTTCTACCTCAACCTTTTCCGAATGTATGGAGCAGCTTAAGCGATTTTAGCACTTCGAGTAGACGTAAATAGAGGCAGTTGTCGAAGATGCTAATTTTCGCCGACTTCACTTCCAACTTCAACGACTAAAAAATTCACAAAAACTATATCCTCAACCAAAGCTTTTTTGATATTCTTATACTACGAGAAGTTTCCTATCAGATGATATATAACTTGCTTGCAAAACGTTTCACTTTTCGAACAAATTTTTCAATTGAAAAAACCGCCATTACTTATTAGCCAACGTAATAGAAATGAGAGATTCTGATCAATTCTTCTACACAGCAGTGCCAGTGGCCATTCCGTTTAACCGCATGTTCAGCGCTAGCTTAGGCAAGCGTTCTTCTCGCTTTCCAGATTATTGGGGCTGGCTTTTCGATACACTCGCCTTTGTTTCCTTTTGTATTGTTTTTTATGATAAAGTTTTGTGTGTTTTGCTTATTTCAGTTCGCCCCGCGTGTTGTACTCCACTTAATAGGCAATAAGTGAATATACCAAGGGGCGAGGCAGGAGATCCACGTTGCCGCGACGCGGCAGAAGCAGCACGACGAATGGCACTGTGTTCCGGTACTAACTGATTCATGGAATCCTACTATATATTCGCTATGTGTGTCTGTGTGCTGTGATCTGTGTGTGTGTGTGTGTGTGTGTGTGTGTCACGAAATTCATAGCGAGCGTCGTCCAGAAAAGATAGGATGACAGTTCCAAGAAGTGATATACATGGCAGGACGGGAACACTTTTGGTGGGTGTCAGGAGGTGATAACACTTGATAAGATACGATAAGGGGCCGTAGAAGGGGAGGGTGACTGAATTCGTAGCGCAAGTTGCAGCAGGTGTGGGACCGTGATTTCAAGGAGTGATATACATGGCAGGACGGGAACACTTTTGATGGGTGACAGGAGGTGATGACACTTGATAAGATTCGATAAGGGGCCTTAGAAGGGGAGGGTGACCGAAATCGTAGCGCAATTTGCAGCAGCTGCAGGACCGTGATTTCAAGAAGTGATATACATGGCAGGACGGGAACACTTTTGCTGTCAGGAAGGATGATAACACTTGATAAGATAGGGGGGGGGGGCACGATAAGGGGCCTTAGAAGGGGGGGGGGTGACCAACATCTAGCGCAAGTTGCAGCAGCTGCGGGACCGTGATTTCAAGGAAGTGATATACATGGCAGGACGGGAACATTTTGTGGGTGAACAGAAGTGATCAAGCACTTGATAAGATTCGATAAGGGCCTGTAAAGGAGGGTGACCGAATTTGTGGCAAGTTGCAGCAAGCGGGACCATGATTTCAAGTACTGATATGCCGTAGGGTGGGGCTGGCAGAAGCTGATAACAGTTGATAAGATCCGATAAGGGGCCTCGGAAGAGGAGGGTCATCAAATTCGTGGCGCAGGTTACAGCAACAGTGGGAACTCAGATCCGTGAGGTGATATAGGGTGTGGGACGGGAACATTATTGGCGGGCGACAGAAAGTGATAACAGTTGATAAGATACGGTAAGCGGCCTCGGAAGGGGAGGGTCATCAGATTCGTAACGCAGGTTACAGCAACAGTGGGACCTCTGATCCGAGAGGCGATACAGGGTGATATGATAGTGATACGGGACGGGAGTGTTATTGGCGGTACGGAAGTGATAGGAGCTAAAATTGACAAGGTAGCATGGGAAAATCCGCTTCACCGCTCACAACAACAATGCGATCGATATGACTCAAGTATAACGATCTCAGTGATTCCAACAGAACTCATTCCTCACTGCTTATTAGTAACGACATCGTGTACGACCGCTAAGCCAGCTCTATTCCAAATGCATGTGGTTTGTTTACAGAGATGTTATGAAACAGCAACTGACTTTATCACTCTTACCACAATTATCTTCCATCAGCAACTTCAGTGAGGGCCATTTAAAGGGTTCCACTGCTGAATGCGGTAGTGCATTCCAAAGCAAGACGCTTTAGGAAGACAGATTGCATAAATTATAGGCTGCTTCAGTGGCTGTCCAAACAGGCTGCACTATTTCCGTGTAGGTTATGAACGTACCAGTCGGATCGCTTTGGCTAAGGCCGGCTTTCCTCCTTCTGTGATTGCTGCTGCTTCTGCGCCTTGACGGAACAAGCGCTGCTTTTCAGTTCTTGGCTGATGCAGAAGATTCCTTTGAACAGTGTGGTTGGTCAACGATCCTTAACTCGGCAAATCACGCGCAGCACGCGGCAAATCCGCATGGCCCGGCGAAGCCGGGCCATGTCACAGAAGGAGGAGCGCCCGGCGACAGCCGGGCGATCCGACTGGGTATGTAATATGCATGTAGCATGTCGAATCACTTGGCGAGAATTATTTTAAAAAAGCTTACTTCGCATCGTCGCAAATCGGTGCGTTCACGGGACGTATTTCTGGTAGAACTCACGCCCTAGGTAGGTATCTGAGCACAGGCACAACCCCGAGCCCTCCTAATAGCAAATCTAATTCAGTAACAATTCATAACATTTTTCAAACTATCCATCTCTAATAGGGAGCACAGACTGGTTCGCTGTGCATGCATGGGCGTTCCGGGATGATTGGGTTCGCGGCGCCAGTCAGTTCTCCAACAGCTGTTGAAGCGCAATGGACAGCAACAGCTGAAAAACGAGTTGGCGTAGGGCCAAGCCGAGACCCCTTATACGCCCCAACATCCGCAGTGAACAAGAGTTAGGTCATAAACAACCCATTCTCACCGCGCACGAAACATAACCTCGTCTTCAAAGGTAGTATCAAACCCTGGACGGGTAGCCTTATGTGGTGCAGGCCCTGCCAAGGTGCTCAACTGGGAGCCCGGCTTGCGTGCGACGGAACTACAAGTTGCCTCGCGTAGAGTGTAACCAGATGCAGACTGGATTATTGTTCAAACGAGTAATACAAAAACGCTGAAGAATACTAGAGTCGCGCGTTTGCTTCGCAACATATCTAGCTCAACATATTTGTCAGGGAAGCCATAAAAATTCTGATTTCAAAAATTCTATTCGAACCAGTGCTCATTTCGGAACTTCGAAAATAAACGAAACCGGTCCAAAAAAAAACTTCCGGCAGAGGTTACTTTTTAGAGAATTAATCAATTACTCAATGAAAGATTTACCGCAATATCAGTTCCTTAGGTAGCATTTTGTTGATGAGAGCTTGTTCACTAGGAGCTGGTGCAAGCGTTGTGATCAAATACATCTGAAAAACGAGAAAATAAGATCACGAAATATAAAATCACCGAAAAGAAGAAAAATGGTCACTGAACTTCTTAACAACTTAAGCAAATTAGCTATTAACTTGGATAGACATTTAAAAATGAAGTACCCGTAACAGAGAGGAGGGTTTTTGCCTGAGCCAAAGAAGGGGGGAGGGGCGATGCGAGGGGCTCGAAGGTCGATGATTCAATTTCATATATTGCCGTCCTATTTGGGTAGGGTTCATCCTAGTTCTGCAAAAAAAAGTCATTCAAATGCCTTCTCCAGCCTCACTGGAACAAAAAAAATTGCTCCAGTGACCAAATACTTTCCGGCAAAAATTTCAACTTCAGGTTCGTCAGTAACCGAAACATGTCAATCAGTAAATTACCTCTTACTAGTAAATACCTCCCAAAAAGAAAAACGAAGAGCAAGAAACCAAAACACAGATTCGTGAAGGATTAAACGAATCGCTGTAAGAGCGATTTGCAAACTAATGAACTTTCTCGCGTCGTCACAAAAACTCCTCATAATGTCCGTCCTTGAGCAACCAGCTGAAGGTTATGGCCAGCCAAGTGCGGTTTGGTTTCCACCTGTCGCTAACTTCACTCATGAGACAAAAGGAATTACAGTATTCATAGACAGACACGATATAGCAATTAGCAAAGTTATTCGTTTAGCCCGCCCTTCTAACGCGTCACCCCAACCTAACAATAAACTCCTTCACCGTTTGTTGCTAAGACACAGTTCTACTGCTTGCACGAGTTTTACCAACCTTCTAACTTCCTAAAATCACGGCACAACGCTGGGAAGAAATAGAGTCCCTCTTATCCACACCTGCAGTTTCTCAGCCAAGAGCAAAGTCGCCAAAATGCTTAGGGGGTGTACCTGAGTACAGACCCTCATCTTTAAGAAATTCTCAAGAGCGATTAACTTGGTTATGGATCTCATATATACTCAAATCCCTAAGATCGGGTAGGCGTGGCTGCGTACTTGATTTTAAAATGGCGGCGGTCCAGGTTTTCGTGAGATATTGTCATTTTGGAGCAGTCGTAATCATGTCTACATCTAACACAGAACAAGATAGCAGTTGTTTCAAATTGAAGTATCCCACGAGAAACCCGTCCTATGCCATGCTCAAAAGCCACGCCTACTCCGTCTTAGGGATAAGGAGTGTGTCTATCTTGGCTTCACCAAGGACGCTGATTCACTGGAAATACACCAAAAACGCCGATTCATTTAAAGGCCTGTGAAACATTCAAAAATGTGGTCATCGTAGGTGCGCCATGTCTATCACGATCTCCCAACTGTTGTAAATGTGATTGTCTGAGGGCAGGCCTACCTTCCTTACCTTACGGTTCTAAGCCAACAATTCATTTATTAGGATGTTTTCGAAATAAGGCAGCGTTCACACTTTGCGGCAACGTCCACCAGCGCTACGAAATCCGGCAGCGTCAGCGACTAGGAAAGTATAGATATCGATCTAGCGTCTGCCAGCGTCTACCAGCGTCCACCAGCGTCTCGAGGGCTAGGAAGTATAGGTATCGATTTGGCATCTACCAGCGTCTACCAACGTCCACCGACCAGCAGCAGACTGCTGGTCGAGAGTGTGGTGCGATAGGAATGTACCAGCAGTCTGCTACCCTCCTATTTCCCCATACTCTCCCAACTGTCTGCTACCCTCCTACCGAACCGTACTCTTTAGCAGTCTGCCACCCTCCTACCTCCCCTTACTCTACTAGCTGTCTGCTTCCCTCCTGTCGCGTCATACTCTCTACGAACAGTCTGCTACCCTCCTGTTTTCCCATATACTACCAGGTGTCTGATAGCCTCCTATCGCGCCATACTGTCCACTCCCGGACGCCGGTAGACGCTGGTGGACGCCAGACGCTATATCAATGTTTATAGTTTTCCAGCCCTCGAGACGCTGGCAGGCGTTAGATCGATAACTACATATACTTTCCTAACCGCTGTCGCTGCTGGACGCTCGAACGCTGGTGAGCGCTAGTGGTCGCTGGTGGACGCTGCCGCAAAGAATGCGCACAGCTTAGCTGGGCCAAGAGCTGACACTGACCATGCTCTTTTTCAATGTTTCCTCAAGAATATATTATCCAATAATTACTCATGTAAACTGGGGACTCTGTACCACCACTATATTAGGCCTGCTCTCAACCTCTATCGTGCATTCACTTTGTCTGGCTTCTGACTCCAAATAGGACCCTCCCGCCCTTTCGGCAAGCCAAGTAGGCCCCTTCTGAAGATTCTTCAGGGGATGCTGATACTGATGTCCCAACACCAAGACGACCAATGATAATGCGAACCCATCCAAACATCATCGAGGAATGTGATAGAAGACACGTTCCGGATGGATGGGGACAGAAAGCACATCAGCAGCGCCCGGTCCGCTTTACCGCCTCGAAAAGAAGAACACACCAGTAACCAGCGCTCTGATGGTTTTTTGTCTCCGCCTATCCGGATAGCATGGAATGTGTTTTAAAAGCGCTCAAGATGAAAAATATTCGATAAAAGTTGGCTTTCCAATTGGCTTAGTTACAGGCGCATGGGGCGTGTCACTCAGAGGCGCTATAGGGGTGCTGAAATAAATGAAAAACTATTCCTTGTCCATGAACCACGGATTCTCAGAACCCTCCAATGGCAGACAATTAACGCTAAACTAGTGAGAAAACTGTGTGGCGTGAGCGCTGACTGGGCAAACGAGCCATTGTAAAAACTCGACACGAAGTTCAAGGTCCTGGAAAATCTGGTTGATTAGCTCAGAGCATCCAACATTTGAAAAGCTGAAGTGCAGGAAATAAAGGGCGTCAGGGAAGAACATCAGATACATGGGGTTTTGAATGCCTTTCTCAGAAAATCTGGCAGCATAAAGGACATGAGAGCCCAAACGGAAAAAGTGGGCGGGTCTTGGCTCTGAATCCTGAATAGCCTGCCTTATATCTTGCCTAGTCGCGAGAGTTGATTTCCCGGTTTTTTCATTGCTGTAGAAAAACTGGCAGCTCGACTTTTAAAGGAAGACGCGAGACAAGTTAGGCAGCTTAAAGGAGCAACATTACCAATACTTGTGGCGCAGTTTGCCGACGGGGGTGGGGCATTTTACACTTCCATTGCTTCACTAATTCTGGTTTACAGGTCTCGCTCTGGTGGAACCTGTGAACCCTCGTGAAGCTGGAGCAAGCTCGTCAAGCCATCACGGTGAAACCTGCCAACTCAAGAGGAGGCTGTCGAGATG